CGCACGATGTTGTGGCCTGTTTCGAGCTCTACCAGGCTCTCTATCGCCAATTTGTACAAAGGTAACTCCCTTATGCTTGTTTTTATAGATAAGATAGGAAGTGAGGAGAAAAAAGAGGAGAAGGAGAACGAAATGAAAAAAGGGGAAGTATAAAAAAATATTTGTAATTGATAAGAAATGTTTGTGTTCATTAAGAAGGATAACGAAGTAAAATATTTCTTTCCATCTCGATCGTAAGTCGGCTTTATTTCAGGTTTCCACATCCGGCAACTTGGCAAGGGATGCTCGAAATTGGCAGTGTCTATCTTCCGATTACCAGCAACTGGCGAAAGTTCTTCAATAATAATGAAGCACGTGCTAATAATGAAAATAATCGAGCAGCTTTGGGTGTCGTGCACGCAGCGAACGAACTCCAAAAGAAATTGCAGTGCGACGAGGCGTATGTCACACTTTTGTACATTTATTTTTTTTTTTTTTGGTTGTGGGGAGGGGAAATATGGCAGAAATTGAGGGGAGGATTTAGCAGCTCAGGAGCTGAGAAAGACGGCAATAGGCAAGCAATTAAGATTTCATTTCATAACATTGTACATTTAATTTTTTCCATCTAGTTTTACACTCCCCTTAATTTTATTTCTACTTTCGCTCTAACGTTCCTTTATTCTATATCAAAATCATTAATATTACTTAATTTTTTAATTTTAATTTTATTTTTTATTTTAATCATTCTTTAATTTTACCAAAAATATACTTACCACAGCCGTCGTACTGACGAGGTCCAACTGTGGTAAAGGTAAGAAATGTATGCGACTTAATGGACCGAAACATTTCTTACCTAATTTATTAATTTTATTATTTCCATTTAAATTTTCCCTTGCTCATTCCTTTTATTTACTTCATTAGCTCTTTTTAGCTTTTCCAGTCACATTTTTATTTACCCTTAAATAGGCAAAAAAGAGAGAGGAATTTTTATAAGAATGATATCAAACAGGCTTTGTGATTTAGTCCGAATTTTCTAATAATTTTGATAGCGTTTGCAGTTACAAGCGAGATCCGTGGATGTGGTCATTGGATTGGAGCACCAAAGGCAACGGATCTTCCCTGTAAGAATTTTCTGCTTTCTTCAGATGCTACTTTTTTTTCTACGAATCATTTTGATTTTTGGCAGTACACTCCCAATCATTGCAGTTGGTATGAATCTCTGCTGCGTGCCAAGCATCTCGTCACTGTACCGGTCGAGAAACTCTCTCATGAAGATGTGAAGCTGAAGAGCCGTGTAATACCGCGATTGTTCGGGCTCTGCTGGGGTCCCTTTCCGCTGCACTATAAGACAGACAAAGGATGGGGATTTCTTGTCCCAAAAGGTGCTTAACAAGATTTGTTCTGTGATTTTTTTTTGAGCAATCTGATTTTGCATGAAAACATTTGAGAAAAGGAAGGGTAGTTGCGCGAGGTTATTAGTTTAGTTTTCAGATACTCACGTAAATTCGAAAGATTTGCCTGAAATGGAGGAAGTGGTGCTTAGACGAGGCGCCAGAGCACAAATTCCTGCAAGGCAAGCTCATTTTTTCCTAAATTTTTTTTTTTTGAAAATATGCATAGTATCTACATAACCAATTCTGTAATATTTTTAGAGCGATAGCTGAAGTAATAGAACGCAATGTGGCCGAGGGAGTTGGTGGTGTTGTTCCAAGTCGTTCGCATGCAACACTCAGTGTTTTTGAATTCCACAAATTGCCTCATCCCGTAAGCTAATTTACATTCCTTTCCTTATGCATTTTGTACATTTCTGCATGTGTATGCGTGTGCATTTATGCCTCTATGGCCAATTCTGTATTATTTTTAGGGCGGTGGAGGTACAATGCCTTTTTAGAGCAATTCTGTATCATTTTTATCTTTTAAACTCCGATCCTGAATGCTAAAGTGTTGGAATCTTGATGTTTGGTCTGTGATAAAAAAAGAGCCTGACATACAATATTTTATCTTTATAGGATCTCGATTTTTAATCTCAGGCTAAGCTGATCAGTTTTATATTAGCAGTCTGTATGTTTCATTGATTCCCGTGGGTATTACATACAAGAAAGGCATAATTGCTGCGATTGTACTTGTTACGACTTCAGTACTCCTCACTTAAGACAAGATTATAATATTTCCATGCTAAAGCTATGGGAGTTTTATTCGAAATCACTAAATTATCGTATTCAAATTTTCCAGAACTCTTCAGTTTACCTCATTTAACTGAAATCTCAGCCTGATTCTGAGGTAGTACATCTGCACTAAGACGCTTTGGTTTTTTTGCTCATCGTCAGAGTTAGGCGTTGCGAATTTGCGAAGCTTTTTTTTGATGCAATTCAGCCGGGAATTTTTGGGATGAATTTAACGACTACAGAGGGTTGAACGACTACAGAGGGTTGAAAATTTTTTCTGACGAAAATTCGTAACAAAAAAATTTTCAAGTTTTCAATTTTTTAAAATTTTCAAATCAGAATTTTGGTGCAGAGAAAACATGGTGTTCATCATTTTTTTTTATTCCTTCGCTACTTACCACGACTCCTGGTTTTGCGTGTTTTTTTTTCATTTTAGAATGTCCTCCTTCGTG